GGGTGGGGGCGCAAGTCCACATTGAGGTTTGAGCGTGGAAGCCCACGAGGGAAAAAAAACATTTTTCTTTTCATCCGTGGGAAAACCAGAACTTGTCTTCAACTTCAGCCCGGCCCACGTGTAATGTAAGTTTTTTTGTGTTTTTTTTTCGTTGCTGTTTTTTTGGTGGTTTTTTTTTTTAAAGCGCAAGTAAAGCACTATTAGACCTAGCAGGACTCCCCCCCCCCCGGCGTATTAATGTTTTACTTTTCTATCGGCACAATGTATAGCACCGAGGAGCAAGGTTGGTTCAACTCAGCCGGCCGCGGACAACGCGAGTCGTGAGGGAGACTAAACCCCTGTGGAGGGGCAGAGCCCGTACTTGGCAAAATATTTTCCCACGAAGGAATGGAACTCTCGCCTCTCGTTTCTAAAGCTGAGAGCCAAGCCACTAAACTGCTTACACATGGGTTGTCTTTCGACAAACACAAGGCGGAAAAGTTGGGTGTTTGCGTCGTCTGTTAGTGAGCACAACAGGTTGCAATTCGCAAGAAACATAAAAATCTTAAGATAACAAAAACGTTCAAGGACGAATGTTAACCACACGACAACAGAGTCCTCTCCCTAGAAAGGTCGCTTCAATGGTCATGGCAACTAAACTAGAAACCAGGAGTGTGGGTATGTGTATGTGTGTGTGTGTGGGGGGGGGGGGTCTATACAATTAACATCGAAGAAGGAGAAACTTTAATTCAATAATCGCTCGAGAAAGAACACACTAGATCACACAATACATAATAATATTCACATGTAGTGTCTCACCCCCCCCCCCTCCTTTTACACACACAAAGAATTTGTTTTTCTCCAAATCTGTCTTTCGGTCTGTCTCTCGCTCTTACAGTATCTCCTCTTTTCCTTTTCCTTGATCAAAACCAGAAACAAACGCGCACACATACACGTGCACCCGCATGTGTGCACTCAACGAATTCAACACATCACTGGAAAAATGATAATATGACTTTTAATTCGGCATCTTCGAACAATACACCTACTACCCTACTTATAGCTCCCACCCAAAACGCTTTCCGCATGAAAGAATGAGAGGGTTTTGTTTTAGTAAGAGTTTAGCGGCACTTGCAACACAATATGGTCATATAAGTGCCG